AATAAGCGTTCTATATCAAGACGCAGATCCCATGTACTCCGGTGACAGACAGCCGCTACAAGATAAAAACGCACCTTTGTGACGTGAACAAAGTTGACAACTGGCCAAAGTTTCCTATTTATTTCTAAATCGATAGCTCCACCTTGGCTGAAACATTCAAAAACAAATTTCTAATAAAATATTTGAATTTCGGTACTCTCGTTCACATCATTAGGAATGCCCCTCCAGATCATTTTCTAGTTTTTCAAACATTAATGCTGATCATTTTAGTCGCACTTTATTAGGTGCTCATCGTCATATTTCCAGCAACGTTGACCCTTACAGGTTGTATGGTTGCGGCTTGTCCTTAGGAAAAGCGTAGCCTCATCCCATTTGCAAAATTTTTTTCGAGATAAGCTGGCATTGTTCTAGTTTTTTTTATTTTTGCTGCCGCTCTGTTTTAGAACTTGTTCTATAGGACTTTTTCAAAGTAGTAGTGAACATATTTCATTGCATGAGCATGTATTTTTTCAAAACGAACAGCTCCAAGCACGAAATGAAGAAAACTTCACTGCAACGTAACAAAATTAATAAGCGATAAAAGGTACAAACCGTACGCCACCTAAGTCAACTCTATTTTAACCTATATTGACGAAAAATAAGGGAAGGCCAACCAGTTTGCTCAACTTACAGGTCTGTGCAAACGTCCGGAAGCCACAGAAGGTGAAACACGCGGAGGTACACGACGTGCCTATTAGGTTTGCAGAAATTCTCTTTAGCCCTCTCCTGTTCACAGGCCATTGTTGTTGCATTGTCCAGATTGAAACTACGTCTTAGAACCGTTCGTCAGAAAGAAATAGAAGGATTTTTTTCTCAAATAGGACGTAAAGGCGAAATTTTGAAGAGTTTAGCCCATCTAGTTTTGAAAATGCAAGTCCAGTCTTGTATTCCCCCCTACCCACTTCCCAAAAGAGAGAATTCAGTCACGGTCAAGGCAGCACGACAGAAAAGAGAAAAAAATGGAGCAGAAGGATAGCACTCTCCCCCAGCATCACCACAAAAAATACGGCTAGGTTTTCAAGTGGTTGCCCTATTCTTTCTCTCTTTCTTTCACTAATATGTCCCCTCCATCTTACAGTGTTGAGCTGGGCTGAAATATGGGTTAACTCCTGCTTCCACAAAAACGTTGAGCATCCCTAGACTCGTTCTGCCGAACATCCCCCCCCCCTCTTTTTTTTTGCATTCCTCATGCCTAGTCTTGTCAGTTCCTTTCCCCCTCTTTTGTTCTGAGAGCGCTACGTCACCCTAAGAATCCAGTATACTTCTAGATTAATATGTCACGTACAACTTATACAATCAAAATACCTTTTTCACCAATATGATCGCGTGTATGCGTTCTAAAAGTCTGTACCAAACACATATTGCTACTTCAATTCACTACATTTATAAAGAAATAATGCTGATATCAGTTATTCATGTTTCATTACATGATCGATAAAATTATTTTGAATACAGTGTTAGACCTCGACCTGGCGTTTATTGATTTGGAAAGCAGAGAAATATTACCATTTATGTGTACTGGAAAGACAAAAAATTTCAACTAATTACGTTTAATTAAACCAATTATTACCTGTTTTGTAGAATGAACGCAAAACTATGATATTTTAATATTTCATATCCAATCACCTGTCCAAATATTACACTTAGTTGGATCAACCTACCAATGTTATGTTAAAAAAACGCAAAGTACAAACAATGTATTACCGAAATTCTGCTGACTTTTTACTGACGTCTTCTAAAATTAGCCCAATATTAATCCCATGTTTGGCTTATCAACGAAACATTATCAAACCTTAGCACCACCTGACAAGAATAACACGGATAATTCAAGAAGCGCTCACTCACCAGTCTCGAGCCACACCAGTGACCGCAGGGCTGCTCGACACTCGCGAGATCACAAAGTGTCACTAGCTGCACGGAACCACCACATGATTAAGCTTTCCACAATTCACTTCTCTCGATGACAGCGTTCGATACCGCTTGTGGCCGCCTGTGATACGCAGAACGTGCACAGAACGATTTCTTTTTCCCGAACGCAGCCAAAAGCTGCGCACAATCCTCACTGGACCAGCGTGGTCTGCGCCATCTTGATTTATGGGGAACGGCCACCCGGTGGTGAGGCTGCTTACGTCACTTTTCCAGCAGCCATTGAAAGCCGCTGAGCGATGCGCCGGAGCTATTGCGGAGAATCCACCCTAGCCTAAGCCATGCGCTGTAGCAGTTGCGGAGCAACCACCGAGCATAACAAAAAATTGGCCCCGTTCTTCTCCGGTTTCCTTCGTCCGTCATCCACGGGAGGAAAACAGTGAAAAACGAATGTATATGCTCCGGAACATTTCGGTTTGAGTGAGGTCACTGGAATAAATAGGGAGGATGGTCTCCGAAATCCTCCCAGCTGGGTATAATGTTGTTTAAATTGTAGACAGCAATGCAGTGTTGTATATGAAAGTCTGAATGCCACCCTATACCTCACCTTTGCAAACTTTTAAATTCGAATGCATTTCTTTGTCGGGATATGTCAGGCGTCTGTCGGAATACGTCCACCCCTCTCTCCCACCACACAGCTGCGAGCGCGCACGCTTATCCTCGCCCCTAGCAACCAGAGCATGTGGTGCGAGAAAGTGTAAAAAAGGGTAGGTGCAGTGCTTCGCCGCCCCTTCTCTCGCCATTCACTCTCTCTCATCCCAGCTCCCCACTTTCTCGTCTGCTCGCGCCTCACTCTCAACCGTTCGCTGGATGGGCGCCTCTCAAGAACATCCGGACATGTGTGCCTAAAACGCCGCTGTGAAACGCCAACGCCGAGTGGAAAACGCTGTTTGTTTTGTTCACTTCATAGCATTTTTAACTGTACACGCTGGCTACAAGAGCTGAAAACGCCTACTCGTTTCTCGCGACAGAAAAACGCCGCGTTCGGCGAACGGCACCATTGACTACATGGTGTAAGAAAAAGAAGAAACACTATTGTTCGAACGCTGGGTTGTCACGTGTGAATAGCCGTTCAAGACGCTACGCATTGCACTACCATTTCCTGACAAATACATTCGGGAAGGTGAGGGCATTTTTTTTAGCTGTGTGAATCACCCTTTAACCAGCCGTTATGTATTTATCATGTCTGTTGCAGGTTAATTTATTTCCGCTCACTATTTCTGATAATACACACCGCAAAATATATTTTGCTCGAACAGTATTTTTTTTTCATTAAGTGTACAAGTTTGCCATGTCATTTCCACAAATATGAAGCATAATTTTTGGGAAATATGTTTGACCATATTTTTCCAGGCCAGGTGAGATTATCAGGTTTTACATTGATGGGCAGTAGTCACACGAACATATAAATAGCCTACCACCAAACGTTATTTTGCAATTCATGCATCGCTCTACGAGTAAAGATAATACATTGCGGTATTTTGTCCCAAATATACCTTATGGTCTCTTTAGTTAGCGATTCCTGCTTTTGTTCCCGCCTTTTTTGCTAAATTCATGGTTGCAATTTTATCTCCGCACCAAGTAACCGCCACCGTTTCTCTAACCAGCTCGTTGATCTCATCCTTTTCCGCATTTGGTGATTTACTTATACTTGCACCAATGTACATGACCTTAAAGGTTTGTTTTTATACGAAACTGCCATGGCTCAATGGGTAAAAGGTGGCTTTGTGCGAAATTCATTCCTGTTTACCCACCAATAGCACAAAACACGGAGGCTCTATTGCTTTTGATAACATTTCAGCAGGATCTCTCAGACCCAGCATGGGCTGTACCTCCAAATTATACTCACTTTGTGCTCACCAAGCTGGTTTCGCAACTCAGTGATAACGGACGTCACCATCATAAAAATGCGGTATTCGTTTTCTTCATACATATTTCAGACAGGTATTGCTTGTTGTTTTGCTATCGCTGTTTTACTAGTCCAGTAAAAAGATTACCATTGCTAGCCGTTCGACATTTAACGCCGGAAACTGACAGAACTCATTATTGTTTCGTTTAGAGCTTTTGCATGCAGCCACATGGATGTTTTTCTCCCGTTTGTTGAGAGGCTTTCTATGCAGTTTAAAAAAAATATTGCTGCAGTATTTCAACACCTTTAAAAAACTTTTTATCGATAATTAGCAAATATGTTAAAATATTTTTGGTTAAAGCAGCCCAAGACTTTTTTTTACATTTTTGTAGGTATAGAAATTTAGAGGGAGTCTGCAATGATCCCTTTGCGGCCACCATCCTGTTTCACAGTAAAGATGCAAATTCTTCAACAAAACCACACGGGTTGACGTCATGTGAATTCCTCCTATACCTTTACAACGCTTGGAAATATTCCCGTATGTCTTAGCCCAATTACTTCGATTTAGTATTATACTCTTTAATAAATCAGAAGACAAAAAGATCAGGAAGAAACGCTTCAGAGCTCCCACGTATGAAAGAAGATTACATATGCCATTCTTTCGTTGTGTAGTCACAGTTCTCATCGCATGTATGAAACAACTTTAGGCTGTAGGAACAGCGCGTGTGTTGCTTTTTTTTGTTTTCATGTTCTCCCTCTATAACTTCTTCCGCTTCGAGTGGTCTTACTATTCAGTGTACCAGTTCAATTCACCATAAATAAGTCACATCTGTCATAATAAATTTCCATTTTCGCTTGCAAAAGGGACCCGGAAGCCGCATAACAGCATTTTTCATTGATGAAAGGTTTTTTCCTTTCATAAAGCTTAAGCGCTGAGTGTAGATTCTAGGCTTTCGAAACTCTTTTGAAATAGATTGTCTATGAAGCGAGCCAATGAAGAAGATGAAGAAGAAGAAGAAGAAGAAGAAGAAGAAGAAGAAGAAGAAGAAGAAGAAGAAGAAGAAGAAGAAGAAGAAGAAGAAGAAGAAGAAGAAGAAGAAGAAGAAGAAGAAGAAGAAGAAGAAGAAGAAGAAGAAAACCTCTCAAGAAGGCGACGTGTCTCTGCTCTCGTGAAGAAATACCACAAATGGCGGCGATGGGAACGAAACTCAGCGCGGTCCGTCAGCAAAAATACAACACGCCTTCTTCTTGCCCTGGAGGAAACGGTGAGCTTTCAGAGGCCACCATCTTCGAAAGCTATGCTACGGCACTCAAAGCAGTGGTTGAAATGGCCTCGTGGGGCACCAAGGGTCTGGAGCACAACGGCTGGTTACGGACTCTCTCGTGCCGTGACGTTATCCTGATGTGCTTCAGCATAGACTCCCTGGAGAAACACCCAGAGTTCGCCATACCAGAGGTGCGCCACTTCTGCCGCAGCGTGGCCATCATCCTGGCGACGATCAAGAGCCTTCGAAGCCACCTGCTCACGCTGCTATATACAGCTACCACGAAGCCGATGGACGCGGCACTTCAACTAGGGCGCATCGTGGCGATGTGATCATGTGCCTATGGTTCAACTGGAGGGCTCCGCCAAGACCAAGGATGGTGTGCACGAGGCGTTCGAGGCCGTTGGGAGGACTTCCTTGCAACAGGGAGATGAAGAAGGTCCACATTGTGATATTTATATTTATATGTACTATATATCTAGAATAAACAAGTCCCCAGTGAGATACTAGATAGGGGACTGGAGTAAATTTTCACATTGAATTTTCTTCTTTGTTGCGCCCGTCGTCACTAACGTTCCCTTCAGCATACCCGTAATTTGACTAAATTTACGCTAGTGTATTCCCAAAAAAGAACTCCTAAGAAGCATTCCCTAATCTGAGCAGGTATAAGTTCTGGTACAAGTTTGGTGCCGGTTAGTCTGAATAATTGCATTTTCTCTTTTTTAATTTTGATGGTGAATAAGTATGATGAGTCTTGAACATGATGAGCTTAATCCGTAACTCTGCGAAATTTGAAACTTGTGCAGAAACCTGTCTTCTGGCATATACACAGTTTCATGATCGCGACAGCAGCAACGGGCTTGCGGCCCACGAGAACCTGCGCTCACGAATTTTACAGGTGTATACCACACAGAAATTGATTGCCCATTTACGAAGCATTTTAAGTACCCATAAAGTCTTGAGTTGAAGGTTTAGGCTAAAATATAGACACAGAATGCCTCCAGTCTAATGCGTATGATTTGGGGCATGACTGACAAAAGTCCTTGCGCATAAGCGTACTAACAATAAATCTCGTTCAGAGGTTTCAGCCTTCCTTTAAAGCTGCTTTTTTGTGGTACTAGCAGGACTGATCCCTTAGAATCGGCCATGAGTCGGGTAGTTCATTCCTTTATGAAACGAATGCTTAAAATATTGCGAGACCATTAAGCTTCCGCTTGAAAAGCTGAACGCGACAGCGGTATTCTGCAGTGCGTACTTGAAGCACTTGGTGCATTTGTTGATGCATCTGTATGGTGTCACTGAATATGTATGAACTGGCGATTACAGCAACGTAAACGGTAAAGTTTAAAGTGGCTTGTGTCAGTGAAGCTATCGCATATGGTTTCATTTTGTGTAATGGGTTGCATAATTCTAACGACGAGAAGTTTTGTGAGTGAAATGATTTCGAACTTGGTATGCAGCCACTACGTGGTCTTTAGCGAATGCACCAGTGACATGTGTGCCTTTTGTAATACGCTACCGACTGCAACCCTCGAAGTCATTTGATAATCACATTTGCTGACGACCGATCGCTTCTGCCATTCAATGTTACTAAGACATTACTTATTGTATTGCGAAGCCTGTACACAGGAGGCGTGTGATCGTAAAAGGTGGTATTTTAACTCTATTTTCACGCAAATGGAGTTTGTTCTGCCTTATTTTAAAGCAGTTCTATGGTTGTGTGGTAGAACACTTGCTTGTCACGCAAACGGCCCGAGTTGGATCCTTACTTGTACCCGAAAATGTGTACTATTTATTTTTTAACATCTTCGAGAAGCAAAGGTCCTAAAACTTCGGGTCTGTCTATCCTTTGTATGGGAGCGCCTACTTCAACCTTTGCAAATTGCCCATTACTTCGTCCTTGCAAACATCCCACTACGCCCCATCACCGATCCACCACTTCCCTGACCATGATGTCGTTATATTGTAGGGGGAGCAGAAGCGACGTATTCGCAACTCAAATGAACATGACAGGCGCTGTGGAGTTGCATCATGGCGGATTCACGGAGGTCACCTTGTCCGCGGTCGCTAACACAAATATTGAGTTTTCTGCAGTGTGATTGCAGTTCGCACTGCTTTGTAGAAAGGGAACGGGTTGTGGACGTGGAGCATCTAATTTTAGTCGGCACCAGTGGTCCCGCAAGCGCGAGCGGCGTTCTTGAAGTGGTCGTGTAATGCACATGGCGCACTACGTCTCTGCGAAATTTGTTTACATACTTCGGGCGCCGCAGCGACATGTAGTCACTGGATACAATGGTAATTTAATAAGTTCGAGTTAAGGTAACACTGGTTGTTGTTGTTGTTGTTGTTTCCCTGTGCAAATGGCTCGTACCCAAAGAAAGGGATTGGCCGATTATAAGGTGAATTTGCCCTAAACTTTCAGCATTGCGTCAATCCTACAAATTTTTTTTTGTAACCTAATTTTGATTTGAAATACCGATATCAAGTTTGCAGAAAAAAAAAGAAGAAAAATAGTGAGGCTGCAATTTAGCAAGAAAATCTTTTAGACGCAGTGATGTATTCTTGAACGGCGAATAAAACATCCCTGTGGCTGAAACCCAGTGTGGAGGCTCCAAATGAAAGAAGATCAGGTTGTGATAGTTGCAAGCCCAGTCTTTGAAGAGGTGGTGCTAGTATGCTTTGCCTGAATAAATCGAACGGGCGACAATGTAATAAAAAATGACTGATCGTTTCCTCTTGATTACAGTAAATGCACATAGGGGAATTCAATATGCCTGATCTATGCAAGTAAAAATTGAGGGAGGTAACGCGGCAACGAAATTTCGTGATGACAACTTCCATCATCCTTGAATTAGTCAGTTCACTGCGCCAGGGAAATAACAAGTGTTTGTACTTTGGAGAAGCCGTCAGTGCAGGGTCAGATAAATTTTGCCTTATTTTAAGTGTGCGAAATCGCGCCACCGTAATGTATACTGTATGAGGGAAAATAGGAATAATTGGTGTCGAAAGGGATGCCTTCGCAAGAGAATCAGCTAATTCGTTTAACAACAAACCTTTGTGCCCTAGTGTCCAGATTAAATGAATACTTCGGAGACGACAGGGGATCAACGATTTAAAAAGTTTCACTATAGGTGAGTCACCAGATGCGGACAGAGAAGAGCACACTGATAATGAATCAGTTATGACTGCTACGACTTGAATGGAAATATTTACCTTTCGCAAATCTAACATTATTGCCATGAATTCAGCCAGAAAGACAGGAAGAAAGTCCGGTAAGCGAAGTGAAAATGACCAATCAAGTACGGGGCAATATATTCCAACGCCTGATTTTTCATGTGATTGAGATGCGTCCGTTGCTATAATGACATTTGTAGGCAGAGTACTTAAATGGTCCTGCAATAAACCATTTAAAATGCCTGTAGGTAATAGCTTAGCGTGAGTTGGGAAGATATCATGGTAAACAATTTCTGGAGAATTTTGTTGCTCAGTTGAAGGAATCAGATCACGAACGTGTACATTTAGGGGCTCAAGTAACGATTGAACAAATACTATTTGTGGTTTGGTAAATCTGAACCAATGCACGGAGAAGAATAGGTCAGGATTGGAAATAAAAATAATTTGTTCAGGGTTAAACGGTGCTTCATATAGTCGTAAAAAGGTCTGCACAGTAAGAATGTTAAAGCGACATAATAAGGTTGGTATTCGTGCTTCAAGGTATAACACTGCATTTGCAGTATACTTTGGAAGTCCTAAGCAGAGCTGTAACACTGGTTCCTCACTTGGAAAGGAAAAATGTGCTTGGCCTTTCGTTTTTTTCTTCACGGGCGGCACCATCCTATACCATGCCCCTATCTTATACGACTGGAGCTCGGACTGTTTGGACCTCAGTACGCGGCTTCCCTATATTGCCGCTAGGTGCTGCATGAATTGCAGGAGTTGCGAATAGCTACCACTTACGAATAATCAAATTTATTGTACAAATACATAGTGTTTGTCACGCCTTTGATGATGCACTGGGTGATATTCGCGGATGCTTTATGGTGTAATGATGAAACCCTCCGGTATTTCGCCACACTCATCATCATTCACTCGGTGGATATGCTGTGATTTTTCTGGATTGTTAGGTCCGAGACGAGAATATTTCTCAATCTCAACCAATGAGCCTCACGCCAACATCGGCGCCGACGCCGACACCATCGGCAAATTTTCTGTGAAACCAGCTCCTAAACAATATCGCGTTTGGTTTATGAAACGAAAAAGCTAGTATTCAGTTCTTTTTCCCTCATGTAGAAAGCCACATATACAGCGCCACAACCGGTACGTCGGCTAAAGTCTACTATACTAGCAACCAAGAAAAGAATCATTGAAAGTAGCAAATTCAAGGCAGTATTTCGGAGGGAACCTTAATTGTTAATATCTCTTTCGTTAAATTTCAAACTGTCTAGATGTTGAAAAATTGGCCCCGCATTTGCTTGTTTCACGCGATTATCGTGGATTGATCATAGCCTTCCCCTTAAAGAGAGTGAATAAAACATTTATGTGATGTTCTGCGTGAGAAAGCCTGCGAGTGGGCCGTTGGACGCGCATCGTTAAAGTGCCTCGATTCGGGCAGTGGGTAGGGGCCACCACCGTATAGTCTTAGTAAAGCGCAGCCTTTTCGTGCGTTGCCTAGCATTGTCAGCTTAGCGCCATAAACGTTATATTCATTATAATTACAGATTTAGGACTTTTATACAATAAAGAAACACGCCACAGTATATGGACGTGTTGATGTTTTGCCTCGGATAAGCGCAATATTTGCTTTTTATGTGATACTACGCACAAGTATGAACGCAGAAACCTGAGCAATATTGGTGGGTGCTTCAGATGTCGGTGAATTTTAAAACTAAAGGCAAATGGTATAAAAGGCGGGAAGACAAGCTGTTTCGCCTGACAAACAGAATTTTTTCTTAGAATTGGCAATGTTCGTGCATTTTAGCGCACTTTTAACAGGACTGTTTAGCGAGATCACCACGTTGTCTATGATGAACTTTGTGGAGTACCGGCTTTCGACTGCGTCCTATCGTCATTTAGGTTACCCATTTTGTGTATATAAGGGCCAGCCCTAATATAGGCAGCCAATTCTAATGACTTTTCCCGTGACCTGGACATGCAAAATAAAATGCAAAAAGACAAGACATTTTGGGTGACAGACAGACAGACAGACAGACAGACAGACAGACAGACAGACAGACAGACAGACAGACAGACAGACAGACAGACAGACAGACAGACAGACAGACAGACAGACAGACAGACAGACAGGCAGGCAGGCAGGCAGGCAGGCAGGCAG